ATTATCATACTCTGAAAGTGTTCTGAATTATGTATTTGGTCATATTTTCAAAAATAAACATTGATTTGAAATTATAAATATTTTTAGTTTTTAAAAAAAATCCCGGACTCAAAGGGTTAATGATGCGTTTTGAAAAAGAAAGTATTTTGTCGCAAAACAAAAAAATTGCTAACTTGTTTGTTTTCTTGTTTTATTATAGAATCACATAGAATTTTTTGTGTTTTTTCCATTGAGTGACTTTGGTATACTGTCAGAGGGGTTGAAGTTGAAAGACGTTTCTTTCTTCGAATTAATAAATAACAGATGCATTTCGCATCAGTGACATCTATATCTATTTGGGACCCATGAAGGAATTCAAAAGATTTTTATGCAATATACTCTATAACTGAAAAAGGAACATTTTTAATAACATAGTTATTCGGGACAACTCTCATTTTTATTGATAAAGCATCAAGAAAGATGTTGTTGCTGCAGAGATGAACATATTAAATAATGACTATTCAAGAATAGCCACCACTACTATGGCGACAATTGAAGAGGGCGCACTGTAAAAAATGCCATGTGTCTTACGAGACGGTTCACCCGTCTTAAGTCTAGTTTAGACGCGTACTAGACACGTATAGTGTCTTGTTTTTAGACATATGAATGAAAAGACAGGAAAGCGTCTTAACGTTCTCTTTCTCGTAACCCATTGTTATCACAAGTGACCAATGGCTTGCGTTGTTTTTATTTCTTTCGTAGTTTTATTAATATATGTTTTAAGGTGAAAAAAATAATTCCGAACTGACTTGATTAATATACAAATAATAATTTAGTAAAATTCATTTTCATTCATTCTTAATATATTCTTTAGGCATGCATTTATTTTCTAGATAATAAAATACTATCAAAAATAAGGTTATAATATACTTTAATATTAAATAATTTAAAATGCAATACTAAATATTTTTTTATTTTCCGCTTCTAGATTTGTCTCGTATCTCTTTTTTGCAGATTACTCTATCAATCTAAAGTTTATTAATTCGAGAATCTATTTTTACTTTTGAGCTATTTTTTCTATATTGAAATGTTTTTTTTTTGATATTCTGGCTGAAATGATTTCATGAATATATATATATATCATTGAAACAGATGAAATTTATTTTTTATTAATTTCTAATACAATATTAGGTTACTTTTTTCTTTTCTAGATAATATTAAAATTGACTACGTCTATACAAAGATATTTAGTAATTATAATTTAAAAAAAAAATCGTAAACTTTCTTTTGATTCTCCAATTATAGGCTTGTGTTGCATCTGTCTTGTGTAGACTTTTCTGCAAATCTATGGTTCACTGGTTCTGGAATATATATGATTTTATATGAACACTGGGTATAAGAAAAAAATATTTTAAGTAAAATAATTTTTTTTGCAGATTTTACTTGCATTATTAAAGCCAATAATTAGATAAACAATAATGAAAATTTCATGATATATATTTTTTATGGTAAATGAAATTGGAAAAAAAAATGAGATTATTTAAGAAATATTTTCAAATAATTTTTTTCCACAAAATTCATTTTTTTCGAATTTCATTTACCATAAAAAATATATATCATGATATTTTTCATTATTTTTTATCTAATTATTGACTATAATAATGCGAGTAAAATTTGCAAAAAAATTATTTTATTGAAAATATTTTTTCTTATACTCAGTGTTCATATAAAATCGTATATATTCAAGAACTAGTGAGCCATAGATTTGCAGAAGTGTCTAAACAAGACGGATATAAGACGCTTAATAACATTGGTTGAAATGCTCCAATCATAAAAATTTAAGACGCGTCAGTGTCTAAAATCGGTTATCCGTTGACACTTGAGGTGTCTTAACAAGACGTTTAGCCACCAATCAGAAACTTCTTGAAGTGTCTTAATCAGACGAATGAAATGTCTTGTTAATACATGTGATGTGTCTTGATTTTTTAGAGTGCGGCACAAGCAAAACGTTTTCGGTCTAAAAATCAAGTTTAGAGAAATCACCTCCTTGTCAGAAATGTATCAGTCGATTGCAAATTAAATTTAGAATTTTTTGATACCTAAACTGTCATATAGGATTCATCGGTCCGAAAATATAAATTAAGTACATAAATGACGTTACAATCTGATAACAAAAGTATGACTCATCCAGGGTCTGACAGCTTACCGTTTTATTTATTTATAGATATGGATAGTGAGAAATGCGTCTGATATCGATAGGCTTAACAAAAGGGCTTCTTTTTCTTAGAAGATAGTATACTAGACCAGATTTTGGTTTGAAACAAACTCAATGAATTAAACATTAAACTAAGAAATACAATTTTCGTTTCTATATAGAGACACGAATCACAGTTTTTTAAATTCGTCTACCTGGTTTGAGACCTAAAATAAACATCCAGGTGTCATGTTACCGTGGTAGGGAGTAAAACCTATAGCAAAAAAAATGTAGGATTAATACAGGGCATTTTTTTCTGGTCGCTTTTCGTCTAAATAAAAACTTCGCAAGGAGGAAGAACAGCATATATAATTTTCTTTACTTTAGACATCATATTCATTCACTCTGCTCGTTGTCAAGCAACATTTTGTATATCAATTATTTTAGATCGTTTTAAGAAAAAAGACAAATGTCTCAATCAAGCAGTAATAAAAATCAACTTGTAGTTGCCTACTGGGCTATTCGTGGCTTGGCAGAACCAATTCGTTTGGCTTTACATTATACCAAAACACCGTTTACAGATAAATTATATGAACAAGGTGAAGGTCCAGAATACAGTCGAGAAGAATGGCTTCGTGAAAAACAAAAACTTGGTCTTGGTAAATCAATATTTTGTTTTTTGCATTTAGTGTATTGATATTCTAGATTTTCCTAATTTACCATACATGATTGATGGCGATTTAAAAATCTCTCAATCAAAAGCTATTATATATTACCTTGGCCGTAAATTAAATCTTTTGGGAAAGAATCTAAATGAAGAAGCACGAGTGATGATGTTATGTGAAGAAGCTCATGACTTACGTATGCGATTAAACGGAATTTTTTATGATCCGAAAGGAGAGTCAAAAGAAGAAAGAAAAAAATTTGTTGAAACAATTGTATTGGAATATTTACAAAAATTCGATAATTATTTTGGTAAACATAATACAAAATTTGCTGTTGGCGATGAACCAACTGTAGCTGATTTTCAATTATATTCATATATTGATTCTGCTTTATCATTGGATGAAGAACATACTTTAATTGATAAATATTCTAATATCAAACGATGGTTGAAAACAATAAGTGAATTACCCGAAATAAAAGATTATATTGTCCAATCCCATGGCCAATTGCCTCTCAATAACAAAGGTTAATATCGCATGATAGGAATAATAAGAATAATAATTTGTTTTCTTTCGATTTTTAGTGGCTAAATTTGGTGACAAAATTCTTCAAAAAAAATGAAATCATTAACAATTGTCCTAAATATGCAACCGATTCTATTCCGTATTTTCTTATTTGATATGAAAATATTTTAAAACGAATAAAGATTATGCGTAGTGGTTTAGTGACTATATCATTAACTATTAGTATCTTTTTTTGTGAAGAGAACAATCGAGATTATTCCAATTTTAGCATTAGTTATTGTCTATCTTTTAATATAGTAGGATTACACATCAGTGATGTGCACCGCTCGTGCAGTCCATCCGCCCCTTTATTAGAAATGTGACTCATATGAATGCAGTCGCACCGCTTCCAGATTTTGCGAGCGGGACTGGTGCGAAGCGGCCGTCCTCACCTTATTGACCGCCCGAGCGACCGTATGATCTTAATTTGACGATGTTGTGAGGGAGCATCTTCTGAAATCTAAATCGACAAATCCAAACTGCGTTTAATATTGTCAGCAGTGACAGAATTTATCACAAGCAGAATTCAAGAATTTTGTTCGTTCTGCAAATATATATGTATACATATATACGCGCACACACACGCGCACAAATATCTGTATGTATATATACATATTGTGAAAAACAGAATGAAAGCAATATTCTTCTTGTTCATCGAAATTCATCGGTATTGTTCAAAAACATCTATACTTCTATCTTTATTTTATAAAAACAAGCAGTACAACTATATTTATTAACATATTAGAAACAAAATCAAAAATAAATTCTTAGGAGAATCTTGGTTTCCGTCTAAGGCTATAGATGCATATAATATGATAACATGAAGCAAAATTCTGCTTATGCATCAGAATTCTGTCAAAATTCTGCTGTACAAATGGAAATCTGAACAGAATTCTTAATTTATCATATCAACATAACATGAAGAAATATATGGATAACGGCGAATATACGCGCTACAGAGTTCTTAAATTCTGCTTGTGAGAATTCTGCCAGCCCTCACCGCACTAAATGATCCTTTGCCTAAAAGATGATGCGGGCGCTCTGCTCATTAGAATGACTTACGGAGCGGTCTGTACCGCCACCACTATTTGAAAATTTAAATCTGATTTTCCGTCGTCGCTCGTCCGTTTTTAGGGGCGATGCACATCTCTATTGCACATTATCTGCTCATGAAAAACAAAGGGTGCGATTGTTTCTTTGTCTCTGTAACGACAAGCTTTTTACCAATGAGAAGAATAACCAAATAAAATATTTTTCTTTGTTTCTCTCGACATGCTTGGAAACTAAAATAGTTTAAAATGTTGGCATAATTATTAGATGAAAAATATTCAGTTTTATATTCTCATTATCTAATTATGACTTACGTTGTGTGACCAGTATTGATTTTCAAGTTGTACAAAACACAAACATACAATTCATAGCAAGCATTATTTTTCTAGCCTAATATATAAATAATTTTTCTCTGTTTTATTCTATTTCGTATTGTTCAGTACTAGAAAATTTTTAAAACAACATGATGTTACTCTTTAACGAGTGATCGATTTTCAATCCAGCCATACTTCAACTAAATGAAAATATTATTTATCCAGCTTTTATGACGAAAAAAGAATAGTCCAACCATTGAGCTACCTTACCGTATGAGATGCTACATAACGACAGATTCACTATCTCGATATCTTCCCTACAACCATAACTAGCTGTAGCTTTGAACAGAAGGCCAGCTTAACAGAAAGTTCTTGTGCTCAATTGCTTGAGACCTTCATCCACACTAACTAACCGTAGGCACAAGTGTATGTCGCAAAGTAGTAAGCATGCTATCGAACAGACGATCCAAAACAAGTAGCCGTTAGTAAGTTGTTCATGTTCATTCCATAGCTGATGATATTGAGGTTGACACGCAGTGCCTTGTGGATAGTTGTTGAACAACGCAATTATTCAATCATGACGGCTTAGCTTTTATGAAATTATTAATTCATGGAGTGGTCAATCAAATAAAGGAGCTTTATACTGTACTGCTCAGTGTAGTTGTTCTTACTGCAATATTAGCTGTTATAATCAATTGAGTAACGATTGACATTATAGTAAAATATTCAATTTTATATCATGTTGTATGATGATTGTATTTTATAATATCTCTATAAAAGAGGTTGATCATGCAAAGTAATAGAATATTAAGAATGAATAAATAGAATAATACGAACAAGATATCTGGAGGAAGAAGAGAAGGATAGAAAATAAGGATCACAAAGTTCGAAAGAAAAAAAATGCAGACAACAAAATCTTACGATGAAGATGAATAAAACCAGAGCAATCGAGAGAAAGAGAGGATAGATAGATAAAGATAAAAATTGATCGATAATGGTGTCATATATCGTAAAAGATAGACTTAACAACTAAAAGAATAAGGATGGTATGTTTAACATTTTACGTCACACGATATTAATTATGCTTGATTTAATTCTTTGTCAATTGTTAATCTGTCTGTAACAGGTATTTATATAGGAAACAGTTTGTTGTAAAGGATGCATATTTAAAGTATCTATATTACTTTGAATGATAGTTCAAAAACTCTAACAGATCGATCTTTGAATAATGTGCTTTAACAGATAGGCACTTCAAAAATTGACTATTTTTGCTGCATCTATCTATGAATGATTATGAAAAAGCATCATCATTGATAAGTTCAGCAGTAATTAATAATGATAAATCACTTGTAAATTAATATTCAATTAATTATGTTTTTCATTTATTTGATACGTACATGGATAGAACAAAGAACTCTCGCAATATGTGTCACTACTGATTAGTCAGATGAAGATAATCATTCACATACTGATCCATAGTTTAGTCTTTGCAATGAAATGAGTTTAAGGAATATGAAAAAAATTAAATAAGGATTAGTTAAATATGTTGGGTTCTTTTTTGTTTTTGTTAACTATTCATCTCAATTAATATGAGTCAAAATGGTATCAAATATACTATTTGAATAAATTCTTCCATTAAAAGCAATTTCTCATGATATAAAACTGTTGAAGGTTAATTTTACACATAAAATTTAAGATTTTATCTTTATGTTTCTATTCACATCTTTAGAATATATTTTTTTTGTAGGTCCTTTTAAAATACAAGATGATTCATATAAAACATTATTTAAATGATATTTACAAAAAGAGTATAGTCAAATGTCAACTAGAAAGAGTAAAAAGGTACTAAGAAAATGAAATTATTCATGAATAAATTTGTTAAGATTAATGATGAAAGGAACTGGGAAGAATCAAACCAGAAAGAAAAACAATATTTTATTCGAATGAATTGTTCACATTTAGAGTCACGATTGTCAAGTTTGATGATAAAACCATTCATATTCGCAGTACGTCTTTTTTCTCACTTTTTTTCTCACGAAGTAAAACTTGAAATCATATTCAATATTCAAAGATTTCACTTGGGAGTCGTTATCGGTGAATATATATAGTTCAGTAGGGAGCCCATCCATGTACTAAATCCTTTTTGAACCAAGCCTATGCTGGTTTGATAAGTGCTAGCTAGCAATAAAGAAATCTAGAATGAATTAGTTTTCAAAGTTTTTGTTCTTACAAAAGAGAATTTTCCTTTCTTGCACTTTTACTGAATTTCTTCGACAAAATCCTTTAGTTCACCTCGAATCATCTTGAAAGATGGCTTTCGAATTGTGACTTGAATATTTTCACCCATAATGTTTGCAACGAGACTAGTTCATACTGAATATTTTAGCTTTTTTCGCTGTTGCTATTCTGAAATACGAATGTTGCAAATTCTGGGATGTGAGAAATTCAATTTTGTGCTTATATTCATATCTCATGGCAGAAGCCACTATCAAGACTGAAACTTTTCCAATGAGCAAATCCCATTGAGAACATTATTCATGAAAATTTCATGTGGAAACTCAAAAGTCAACCTTTAAGATGATCTGAGAGAGACTGCAGGGTGTGGATGAAAACTTCCGTAAGACACCTATTTCTCAGAAATCTTACAACAATAATTGTAGTGATTGTTTGCGCATTTATTTTTCTTTCTACTGTGAAGAAAGAGGATGGCACGTAAGCGTCCTTGTGTCACAAAGTCGATATAAAAGCTTTGCTGTGTGGACAAACGTATCTCTATAAAAATGGATAATTGAAATTAGACTTTTGATATGTTGATGACTTCGTAATAAAATACTTCATATATCATCAGGTGCTGTAACATCGTTATTTGGCTAGTACTGTAATTATGATAATGAATAACTTTTGCTTTTTCAGTATTTTTATCGGAGAACTCTTTCTGAAAATATCTTCTTTCTTTTTGAATTCATAATAGATAATTAGAACTTCAATTATGTTCCAATCGGAATTATAGGTAATTCATATAAAGAACAGAATAATAAAAAAAAATGTAGAAGGATAAAAATAGCATAATCAACTCCGTAGAAAAAAAAACTTTCTTTGTGTAAAAATATTTATTTGAATGCCATAAAAAGCAACGTTGAATTAAAGGACCGATTGCTAAGGAGGTAAAAAGAGGGCTGTCGACATTCAGATTCAAACTGTAATTATTGCAATAAATGAATCATGAAATATTGTTATTAATCAGCATGTTCTTTTATTTACATTCAAAACAATTCTTTTTACTTTTATTCAAGTTGTTTTACTAAATAGATCTGTTAGATTATTAAAGAAGAGAAGAAAATTTTTTAATATTTGGAAATATGTTTTGACTGAATTTATCGATTCCTTTGAATATTTATATATAAACTAGTATATGTTTAATGTGACGTGAAGCATGGCATTTACGTAAAGTGACTCACGAGGGAACTACCCGAGGTGCTAACAAGCTTTTGAGCTGAAATTTGGTCCACAAGTAGGGAATGCATAGACTAGAAAAAGTCTAAGAGGATATGTGCCCAAGTTGAGATTTGGCTGAGATATCGTCTTTTTACTATAGTTTTTCTATGGGACCCCATTTTTTCCATTAAGTCAAAGTTTCAAGTTTTGACGTGAAACTTTGCCCATATCAAGACCTCAACTAGATTAGCTCATCTAC